AGCCCAACTGAAATTCGAGTTTTACGAGATTTAGTTGATAAAAAGTTGAGATTGAAACGGTGTTGATTTATACTGATTTTCCGAATCAAAGAGAAGAGGCTGAGTTCAGTATTTGTAGAGAATATGTTTCTACCTGAAACGTAATAAAACTGATACGTGAATGAGAGAAAAAATACTATTGGCAAAAACAAAAAAAGTGTGAAACAATCAAACACATCACTAGATCGATGAAATCAACTCATCCACTGCATTTAGATGTTTTTAGACAACAATGATTGATGTTAAGTCCATAAGATGACGATATCAAAACCTTAACAGTGAAAACTTCAGCCATCACAACTATGATGCACGGGTAGCACGACTGTTAGAGGTGTGTATTATAACAAAATACAAGTTGTTGGCTCGACCTACGCCCCAAACTCACCAAGTCATCTATCCTTGTGGTGTCAATAAATTGGTGCCAGGTTTTTCCGAAAGGCTTTTAGGGTCGACTTGATGGATCGGTAAGCAACCGCGGGACATTGTAAAAGTTAAATGTGCATTAAATCACCTCTACTGACGACGAAGCACAATGTATGGCACACACCCTCAGGAATTAATCAACGCCAAGAACTTCATTCTTGAACCTTCGAGCATGACCAAATGACTATCATTTTTACAAAAAAAAAATAGCTAGCGATTAGAATTTTAAGCGAAAACAATGGCATGTGGGCCATTCCTTCCACGACTTCAAGAACTTTTGCGACAATGTGACTCTCAAAGGAGTCATTTTGGCAACAGACACAGTCGCGGGTACAACCTCAAGATTATTTTGATTTCGGCAGACTGTTTTGATGCACAGAAGTGCCTTTCAGAAGCTCTATTGTGCACAAAGTACACAAGAAAGATATTCACTAATGAGTTCAATGACCGGCAACTTGAATGGCAACTGAGTGTTGTTCCAATTCTAAATGCTATAATGAGCCATAGCCATTGTATGGAACGAGCGAGTACATGAAATACAAAGGCATACTCAACACGACATGCAAAACAGTTCCAAAAGTTGGAAGCAATGTGTGCATTGATGGATCATAACAGTATATAGTAAATATTAACAATATATATATATATATATATATCATTGGTACCGCACTGGTATCGGACTTGTCTGGGAGGAAGCAGGATTGACTCGTGACTCGATTCAGCGGGAGGCCACCGCGAGTCACTGTGATGGCCAGATATGCATTCAGTCACCTCAGACGAAGTTAGAAATTGAAGACGAATGCATGGCGCATCCCTTAGGGATTGATCAACGCCGAGAGCTCTATCTTTTTACCATTTATATATCATTTATACCGATAAAATGATAGAGCAAAGTCTCATCTAACATTCTGTAATGTTCTCATCCTTAACTAGTGTATAAGTTATCGAAATATTATTGCCAGTTGGCAAAGATTTACCGCCCTCCTTTGCGACAGTCAAGCAAACATCGCCAAGCAAGTGTCCAGATTTTTTTCGCCATTGTCGCTCACTTTTTTTCGCCCGCAATCTCAAATTCTTCGCGAACTTGTCAGCACAAACTACAGCTCATTCTAATCTCTAAATAAAAAATAGTCACTGTCACATAGAGTCTCAAGTTTCCCACGTTCTCCGTAAATAATCTTGCAGACACCTTTGATTCTGAATCAAAAATTTTTTCATATTAAAAGAATTTCGTGAAATGCTCAAACGTTTACTGCTATAAAGATGATATGTCGACGATTGTGTTCTTAATAATTACTTCTGCCATTGTTGCACTACAGTTCGCATTTATGGAGGCTATTTGGGTTGTCTGAGTCACAGAAAGCTTATCAGTACTTCATCCCTTACTATAATAAATACTGATTGAGCATGGCCTTCTCTTTTGCACAGCCATACTAGGGAGATTTCTATAGCGCCATTGCCACCACAAGCTTCAAGTCTTGAGAAGTCGCGAGAACTTTGCTGACTTGGAATGACGATTCTGTCTGATTTGCACTAATTCGTGCTGGTTGGTCGAGAACGATTTGAATGACCAAATCATTTGACAGGATACCGTTGCCATTTACGGAAGTGATGCCATTTGAAACTAAGTAATCACAATCACCCACAAAATGGATGGTACTTGGTGACTAAACGTGCCGATGACGAATAGAACAGAGAAAGGCTGACTCGACGAGAAAGAATGTGTGGACGTTGAACAATATCATTTCATTGTTCTTACTGATGGCACGCTTCTGTGAAAAGATTCTTGGTATAGGGTATTGTTCTTACTGGCTTACTCAGCTCAGTTTACCAAGAAAGTTCAGAAGAAAGAAACTGTAGTCTGACAAAATGTTCTAGGCTTTTCAGAGGTATGGTACGGTATTTGCAGTGATGTACGTATGTTTCGGCGTCCTTACACGACTCAAGAGCAACATATGCCCTTCGGTTCACCCTTACACTGATAACAGTGGCGCCGCAGTTGTAGCAGTCAAGGCAAAGTGAGATATCAGTTGATGCTGCGGTCTAGACCATTTTCAGTCGATGGCTTACGGCTCTTACGAGGCATATGACAATTTCTTTCAATCGCCTATGTTGAGACCTTGCTTGGAAAATTCTATATAGCCTGATAGAATAGTTCATATGCTTTTCAAAGGTCCAATCACATCATATAAGTCCAGTAAAAGGCATTGTTTACAGATTTTGTTTCAACTAATCAATGGAAATCACCAACAGCTCATGCTGATAAGCAGACCATCAAAATTGTGATACGCATATTCGAAGAACAAGTAGTTGCTGTTGATAGACAATAGTCATCTCAAATCAGTCTGCTTATTGTATAGAATAATTTCCAAAACAATCACAATATCAGATTACGCTCTATGGATGTGAATGGTATATATGCGATCATTTATTTATACGCTACCATGGTCTGTTATACAAACACATCTCATCCAGCATTTGGGAGTGCCCTGAAGCTCCGCCGAGCCCCTTTATGAATTTTTCATGCCTGCTTGCTCTGACTGAAATTTCTGGTAATGAGAATTTTCAGAGAAATAAAGGAGCTCGAGGACATCATGGAAGTGATGGGAGTATTGGCCTAGAAAAAAAAAAAGAGAGAAACCATTGAAACCCGAAAATTGGTCATCACGGAAAAGACAACGCTGAAGTAGGTCAATAAATGACGATATAACTTAGGAATAAATATTGTGTGATTACTAGTGACCAAAAAAGCAGATAAAAAAATAATTTCTACATCATCAAGAATTCCAATTCACGTCTACTATCAATTAACTGTAACCTTTGGTTTAGAGGTAATAAAATAACTACCACAAAATTGAAACAAAAACAATGTAATTCCGCAACGAATAGTTATCAGTTGATATAAACATAACGAAAAACGAAATAAACCCTACAACTACAGAAAAATCGATGGTATAACAGAAGCCGCGTAGAGCAGTAGTTAAGTACGCGTTCCCGGAAAGGGTGAGACACGGGTTCAACTCCTGGCCGACATCCAAAGTTTTTGCAAATCACTAACCCATTTTCGGATATATATTGCCGACAGAAAAGCGTTTCAATGCCGACTATTTGAAAAATGCGATCTTTTCATTCCAGTGTCTTTAACACAGAGCCGAAATTCGCAGTATGAGTGGGCCGTGGACTACTGACGAAGCGCGCGAAACCATCGAAACGTACGTATGGCTCTGACCCAACCTCGAAAAGGCTCTAAACATTTTCTCAGGCTATATTGAATGTTTATAGCGAGGTTTTAAAACACTCGATGACATGGATTTCTAGAAGTTCTCAGCCGTAATCCATCGACTGTAAAAGTGGTGATAGCACAAGATCACGTGCCATCACGATAAACAACGTCTCCCCATCCCTGCTATAAAAGTAGGGTTCAATGTGGAGCGTGGGCCACTGATGAAGCGGGCGACACCACCGAGACGTTCGTATGGCTCTAACGTACCAATCTCGAAAAGGCTCTAAATATTCCTACGGACGTAGTATGAGATATTTCTACGGACGTAGTATGAGTGTTGAACACAGAGGAGCAAGTATTAGTGGTGCTGGAACAAATAGGGATCGAAAAAAAGGCTGAGAAGACGATTAAGTTCATTTGTTAGGCTTTATAGAAGAGATAGGAATGAATAAAGTACAATAAAAAGAGTGAGAAAAAAAAGCTTAAATGACAAGAATTGATAGGAAAACAATGCCGATTGATAAGAAACGAAGGCGAAAACCAAGATGAAACGCCTCTATAATGCGCTACCGAAGTACAAAAAATCTAACAAAACAAAATAAATCCGTCATGAGGATGTCTATCGATGCCTCCATCGAATAATTTGAGCCTAAGTTGCGAAATTCCAGTTCTTCCAATACGATAGAGTTCCTTTAGGGACCCCCCCCCCCCCCTTCCCGCCTTCCCTCCCCTCCGCCTCTTCTCCTCATCCATAGTTTTCCGGATTCTTTGAGTCAACCAGAAGATCCTAAAAGAAACTGATCTTACAAAAATCTAACATGAAGCCGATCTGCGTGGATATCCATCCAGAAATTTCGCTACGAGTTATGGATCCGATCCGAGGGAACCGTGAGAACTCGGATGAAATCCGTTGACGACGATGGGCCGGCTGCTGCCAGGTATGTTGGCAAGGTGGTGTTGGCCGTGGTTATTGATTCGTCACCCACCACCCACCGTGTGTGGGAAGCGAGAGAGCCGTGGGAAGCCTTTTTGTGCTACAGACCTCCCAATCGCCCCATGTGAATACAACGGTGTCATTTTCCCCGCCCATTTGATCTGCCAAGAGGAAACATGACCGTACAAGTGGAAGAATAATCAATACTTCTGCTGTTCATTGATAAAAATCACTGGATAATCAGCAAAGTGATAAGCGCCTGTTTCGAGCAGCTTTTTTCCCAATAATGTTGAGTGCTATACAAAACTTGAACGTCAGACAGAAATCGAACTCTGACTCCACCCTTTTTTGTATTGTACAAAGAGTGATAGCAGAGCGGGAGCGTCGGTAGTGCAGTTGGTTAACACGCGCTTCCAGAAAAGGTAAAGTAAGGGTTCGATTCCCGTGTGGCGCTTAGCGTTCTGTTATATGTTAAAGACAAGAATTCTCTTTATTTAACCTCTTTATAGCGGTGGTATGATGTTACATATATAGCCAATGATTTTGAGTGTTGTGCAAACCTTTTGCTTCAGGCGGGACTCGAACTCGCATTTCTCCCTATGTAGGGGCGCCTCACCACCGCTACAAGTGGTTGAATATAAAGAATTCTTGTACTTGAAATATATATCCAATACTATGAGCGTAACTGGGTTTAATATCAATAGTGACCACCAGGTCAAACCGTTGACGGTTGATAGCTAACAGATTGATGAGTTGTAGCGTAGCAAAAGTGGTTGGAAAAATGCAAAGAGAAATTTAGTTGAGTTAACATCTATTTGTTTTATAGATTTCTCCCACATCATAACTCACAGTTCGCGATCCCGAAAATTCTTACATTCGAGTCGCTTTCTTGCGTTCATACAAGTTGCCTCGGCTACTGCTTGAGGACTTCATCAGCCCTATGAATCTCGTAGAATGCTGGTCGAAACGACCTCCTTGCAACTTTGGAAGTGACCGAGCTAAAATGCTTCCTTAGGCGTTCGTTTATTCATTGTAAGAGAATGCAGGGAAAGAGGATCGAATCAGTGCCTTTCTTATCACCTTATTTACTCAAACTCTGCATCATTTCGAAAACTGACATTCCTTCAAACTCGACTAGAATGTCTAGAGAAAACAAATTACTATTAGCAAACAGCATAACAACCATTCTGGATGGAAGAGCATCATCGAGTATGGGTTACATTTGGACGGCAATTCACCAAAGAAGATTTGACTCCAACGACAGTGAAGATGATGATCCACAATAAGGGCAAACAACTATGGATGATCGACTAGGATCATCGGCTTTTAAGAAGACGAAGCGTCGAAACGATGGCCGAATAAAGTTTTTCATATCTATCCCGTGATACTAGCTTACTCATCTCTTCAAAGAAAACATCTATACAGTTGGCGGGCGGCCGGTTATGATAGAATGTATTAAAACACCAATGAGTTAGTGCGTGTAATGTGAGTTTAGCGTGACAGTAGGTACAGCAATTTGAACTGAAAAGTGTGTCAGATGGCGATGAACGAATGAGTAATGAAAAAAATTCAGGACGGCGCCAATGATTAGGCCACATCAAACTGCTAGAAAATCCGACATCACTCGGTGGTGCGAAAAGAAACTCAATTAGTATCGTAAGAATGGTTCCGGAAAGCAAATGGTTGAACAAATCTGTGAGAATCAACAAGAGAGATTTACTGAGCAGCGAGACGATCACAAGAATAAGCGCAAACGAATGAAAAATAGGTGGAATATGATGATAATGTTCACATGACAGGTCGACACGATTCATTATTGGTAAGTCTATTGATAGATATTTATTTGAGTGGCTTGATAGATATCCAAACAATTCTGCAGTAGTGATCAATATGATGGACGGTGATGTCAAAAGAAGTCCGTATGAAATTGATATTCTATTTGAATGAAAACAGACCGGGAATAATTTTTAAAACCGACTTTCATTCAGAATAGATGTGAATAATCGATATCTATTTGCTTCTTTGATAAGCTTACGCAAAGTTGTTGAGAGGCTTCTCACTTGATTAACTATTCGACTTCATCGTTTTTTTCATAGCTGATGATCCGAAACGACAGTTCACAATCGCTCGTCCAAGCGATCTTCGTCTTATTTCGAGCCAAATCACTTCAGTGGAGCACCGCTTGAATAAGCCTTATCGTCGAATACTGGATTTCTAAATCCAAGGATGTTGCTTGATATGCAAAACTCTCGACTCCAGACAGGGATGAGAACGCGCGTTTCACACATATCTGAGGCGCGCTCTACCACTTCAGCATCGAGGTTACCGTTTTGCTACTACTCTTTCCTCGGTATAACGTACCAATCTTTACTGAATACTCATTTTCTACTGAGATTAATTTGTTTTCAAAGGATCTGTGCCCTTAATAGTTTACATGAGAATGACTTGTTTGCAAGAAGGTAATATTTTTAGAGATACAAAAGTAGCACTTTTTGTATAAATGGAAATATCACTTCATATGTGCAAGGTAATCCAACACTAACTGCTGGAGGATGAGTTATCCGCTCAAAAACAAACTACTTTCAACGGGCTATCAGTATCGTTAGCAAGTGTCCTGTGCAGGAAGATATCGCCGAGTGCGATTAGTTTATTGAAACGGTAGCGTTTTATTAGACAAGATTCAACTACAACAACTACGAGGACTCATAACGCGAAGAGGAACAACTCTGGATCGTTGATTTCTATTCTATCATCGGCTCAGAAGAAGACTAAGGACGTCGCTACCATAGCCAAATGGAGTTTTTGTAACAAACCCGTGTGAGTTTATCAATCAAGTAATGATCTATGCATGAATAGCCATATTATAAGAGATAACTAACGCTGGCTTTGAAAAAATCTACATACAGATTATTACATGTGCACGTGAGAAAATCTGATTCTACCCAAGCAAAGATAAAGTGGACAAGATAAGTAGTGATATATCGTTTATTATGTTAAGAAGTTAACTCAGTTCTTTATACATTAGCCACGTGACCACATAAGAAGTGGAGTTTTGCATCAAGTCACATCGTTTAGTTACTCAAGTTTTTTTTTGTGGAATCACCGATAGATCATTTATGCTCAGCGGGTCGGATGGGCATTCACTTTGTGTAGTCACTTATGAGATGTTCGATATTAAGAGCATCACGATAATCATTCTATTTTCCTTAGTTCTTCGCATCTCACCAAAATCTTCACGATTAGACTGGTTCTCTATGTACTACTTGAGAAGAATTTTGCAATCGTTTCTATCGCAGGTAGTCTTTTTGTGGATTACTGTGCTGCCTCAGAAGAGTAGACGGGTTTAGTATCATGTGAGGAGAGGGAAGAGATTCAAGTCAATGTGAAATTGTTTAAAAAGATTAAGGAAGGGACAAAAAGTAAAAACAGTTGATTTATTGACTTATTCAGAAGAATGTATAATCGATATTACGTCATCCACTGCCGTGACGACAAAATTAAAAGAAAAGATGAAAGAAAAAAAAGGAAAACTGTAGCTAGTTATGACATCATAACGAAACCAACAAGCACTTATCGTTTATAGTATGCCTAATGCAACTATCAGTTAACCACTGAACCATATAGCTTCAATTTAGATTGAAATGTTCTACAACAAAATTTCCATCCAGTGTTGTAGAGTGGCCTGCTGATAGAAAGGGCACATCAGAGTTTTCATCGAATGTGTTTTTCTCGAACACTATCTAATTCGCAGATGATGAGATGTGAAGATGAAGAGGAATTTCAAAAATAAGGAGAAGTTATGCAACAAAAACTAGCTAGAGTGAGTGAATGGTTATGGCTGGAAATAACAGGCAATGTAACAAAAGTAAGTAATTTAAAATTTCATAGATAAGAGCAGTTTAATTTTTGCAAAAAGAAGGACTGACAAATACTCACTGTTCTTGGTGCCTGCAAATTTTTTTGCAAGAAAAAAAGCACCTATTTCGAATGAAAAAATTCTAAAGTAAGGTTTTATATAAAAGTTTTGGAGTACCAAGCGCTAAAGTAAAGAAGAAATAGGTCTATAGAAATTTCGGAAAATAGTATACGAACGCGTCTATTTTTTCAGCACAGCGGCTCTCATCTATTGAATTTTATGACAACATAAATATAACAGATTACTACCCAAAAAACATTTTTTTTTTTCCTCTTAACGAAAGGACTTATGACTTGACGTTTTCTGATGTTGAACATTTATTTTGCAGCGTTTTGGTTAATTATCCATATTGACTGTACAGCAGCACCCAGTAACGATCTTTTAGAGAAAAGTTAGCAGCTTTAGTCAAAAAGTTCTACCTAAGTGAACAACATGAGCCATCCTTCCAAGATTTGAATGGCACAAATCCCTCAAAAATACATGCTCGATAAAATAGACGCATATCTAATTTCGACTAGTGCCGGCATACGAACAGTTCAAAAAAGAAATGGGAAGAAATTGAACAGAATGGGGAAGCGGCTGCTCTATGAGAAGAAGTGCTTGTTATCATTTGTGTGGGCTAAAATGGAACATTTTGATAACGGCATATCGCCTCTAATGCCACATTGACAGTGATGACTAAAGCAACACTACTGTTGTACTGTCCTCATTCAGTATAAAGTAGCACTGATTTTCAACTTCGAGCTTAAGCATGCATAGCTTACCGGGAACTTTATTGGTGCAAATAAGTTACCTCTACGATATACAGATCTTTGTTAACATAAAACTGGACCCTATTTCCGTTGTCACGATCCTAAGCATCTGAAGCCCTCAGATTTCCAGAAGACATTTTCAGCAGTGGTAGTCTTCCTTCACGATGATTTCGTCAAGTAGTAGTTCCATTATTTTATCCAATAATTAGCCGCCAACTGAGGTTCGACGAGAGCTCTGGAGCAGGCGAGATTCAGTGTGCCAATCCTTGTCAGCGCTTACAGCCGCTACGTTGAAACAAACTATGTTGGATTCTTGCAATGTATCAGAATATTGATTCACTATTCACCAGTCAGATCGTTACCGTTCCAACTGTTGGCGTATGTGCCAATTTCTTTACACTCTTCTGTAGTGATGTCGTTGCCTCCAAAATGATATAGTTGATATTTCCATATGCCGTTCTTCAAAAAATCCTGGCAAAGATCCCTTCTTATGCGATTTATGAATTAGGAATTTCCTTTGCTTCATTTCACGTAACCGTTGCGCGGAACGCCGTCCATTGTTGTAAAAGATATCTTTCCTCACATGCCACAATTTGATCAAAAAGTGAATCGTTTTATTGTGAGAAAAAGTGGTCTTATAATGACAGGTTGCGCTTCACCTATTTGTTAAGTCTTAATATTGACCTCTGAAACGTATTTGGGCGCCTAGAGCTGCTATTTTAGCAGTGCCTAGTTCGTACTTATGGTACTAAGTCGTGACAAATTCTAATTAGTCGCCGTCGCTGG